CTGGGCTCCTCTTTTGTGGATGGCGCTAAATGTCAGAGGGTCACCTCTGTTGGGGACAATGTGTGTGTCTGACCAGTCCTTCCTAACTGCTGCGGTGCAGCCACGTGGCTCTATGAGTTCACCTAATCCATTTTGGAAGGGGGTGAGTTGCTATCACACTCTTGGCTACTTCGTCCTTCTCTGGAAATTGAGTCCTAGACTTAGATGAGGGAGGATGGGCTGGTAGCAGCCTCCCCCATCCCATTCTATCCCGCCCCACCCCTACGGAGAGGCTTTAGTGGCCTTGGGGGTACATGGAGCTGTGGGCAGGAAGCCCTACACCACTCCTTCTCTTCCAAGGGAGGTAAGGAGGGAGCACAGGCAGCCCCAGTGCCTGGCCTTTCAAGGGTCTGCTGTGCCTGGTAGTTGTTTAACCCCCTCTTCATGTGACTTCACAAAGGGCTGGAGCCATCTTCAGTCTCCGGAGTTCTTGGTGATATCAGTTGTCCCTGCTCCCAGAGAAACCTTACTTCCTCTGGGCCCCCAAACCCAGCTTAATTAGTAGCGAGTAGCTTTCCTTCAAACTGTTAGTGGCCTCTGGCTCTGGCCAGCAATGGCTGGGTCAGTGGTCAAGGGGAAGTGGAGGCGAGGGGTGGGGGAATTCACACACATGGTTTATTTGGTTAACAGAGGCAGTTGCGTTAGTTGAGGTGATCCCTTAGCAGCAACATTAGAGAAATCCAAGAGATTTGTGGAGCTCAACTCAACCCAGTTCTCCACCTGGTCTGACTCAGGAGCCAGGAGCAATCCCTCTCTAGGAGAGAGGCATCCAATGAAGTGCAAGCCTGAAGTGGCCAGTTCATCTCCAGCCTTGTTTCTCCTACATCCCAACTCCAAGAGTGAAAGGCTCTGGTGCCCCTGTGGGATTTTCCTAGTGGAATACATTCCCTGGCCTCAGCTGTCACTCTCTCTTTTCCAGAGACAGATCCATGTTCCAACCTCACAAACTTAACATGCTAACACAGTACACATCTAGTGCTTTCACAAGGACAACCCCTCTCCCTTGCTGGTGTTCTTCCCAAGAAGGACAGATACTCACTTCCACAGGAGTGTGTGGCAAGGGGCTTCCTCACTGCCCCAACCTCCCTCTCCTCTCTTCCATCCCCTCCATATCCCCATCAAAGTGATTGAAAAAATGTTTAATTAACTTGAGCTCAGTTTAAAAGGTTAGGAAACTGGCAGGGATCCAAATCCACGTTACACAGGTGATGTCGTTAATTTAATTTGCTTTTCGTGCAGTAATCTGGATAATTACTCAGTAGTTACTGGCAAAAATGTTTTCTTTTCACTAAAAGATGGAGTCTGACTGTTTGACTGCATGAACCCCATTGGCTGAGCCCCAGCAAGGCCTGGGGAGCTGAAGGGGCCCAGCAACTCACAGGGCCAGCTCAAAGGACCTCCAGCAGTGGGTGGCCCTGGCCCCCATCCCTGCTTCCAGGCCTAGCAGAAGCCCAATGCTTCCCTGCCTCTATCCCCCTGGGACGGGCGCAGCACGAGATCTCCTTCCAGTTTCCCACACTCTTGATTGTATTTCGAGACAGAGAAAGATGAAGGGTGGGGAAGATACAGAAAAAGAATCCAAAGAACCAAATTAAGAAAAAAAGAGAGAGAGTCAAAAAGGTGGGGGTCATGATTAAAAGCTAGAGGAAGGGATGACAGATTAAAAGACTGGATTTGTTTTTGCCCCCACCCTCCTGAAAAGGGGTCCAGAAAGAGGAGAGAGAGAGATGTGGATGTGATGAGACAGGGGCACGCACGTACATGTATGACCCGTGGACATACATGTACGGACACACCAGCAGGGCGGAGACACATGGCAGAGACGGTAATACCTCAGAGTGAGATGGCAACGAAAGCACCTGCTCAATGGTATCCATTTGTAAAGGCCGTTGCAATCAAAGGTCCCTAAAATTGCACAATTGTTAAGGTCATCAGTGTGCTATACATGGGAACAGATTGTCACATTCTGGGAAAGGAAATTATCTCTAGGACTAGTTCTGTGGTTGCCAGCATGAATATGTAATTCTGAGACACCGTGCCATGAGGGGCCAGGATGACATCCTCCTTAGCTCCAAACCCCTAGTCCCCACTCCCTCCGCCCCTACCAAGCCTATCTGCTTACCCAGGGAAAAACCAAAAGCCAGATTCAGAGGCGTGGGTGGGTGGTGGGAAACGGGGGTTTGTGCCCCCAGTGATGGGCACGGCTGCCCTGAACCCCAGAGTGCAAAGATAAGTCTCTGTCCACAGTCCCAGCGGCTCTAGCTGGGGAGAAGAAATCCCGGTGCAGACAGACTGGGATGCTTTCTGGTTATTTCAGAAAAACATCACAGCCCACAGGTCAAAAGACCCCGGTTTTCAAGAACAAATTGGGCCTGTGTTTCTGGATGCTGAATATGGAAATGAGTTGTGTTCTAAGTAGTGATAGATGGTCCCCTAAATTGAGCAGCTCTCAGGTGAATAATAATATTCTGGATTTGGTACCACAGTTGATCCGAGGGGATTAGATTCATCAAACTACTGACTTAAGTGATACTGGCTTGGGAGCAGAACTGAACAAGGACCCACCCTGCACAAGTAGGGCTGGCAGGTGTGTGTGCATGTGTGCGTGTGCGTGTGTGCGTCCGTGTGTGCGTGCATGCATGTGTGTGTGTGCATGGATGTGTGCGCGCGCGTGTGTGCATGTGCGTGTGTGCGTGTCTGTATGAGGGAGGAGCTCCCAATGCCAGGGGGCATGAATGAGGCCACCTTGGTGCCCTAGACTGTCTGCACGTGTTTTGTTCTCCGCAGCGTGGCCCCCAAGGCAGGGCTTGCCAGCTGTTGCTCAGAAGCAGAGTCTGACAGGAACGTGGCCTGGGACTGCAGACGCACCCATCTTAGCTCAAAACCAAGCTGCCTCCAAAATGCTGAGGCTGGCTAGGGCAAAGGTTGGCCAATTTTCTGTTTCCAAAATGGAAGGGACAGCGAGCAAGTGGGCTCAGACACATTCATGCTCACACACACCGGGAGGGAGAAGAACAATACAATCTGAAAACAGCATGCAAATCTGTTAAGCAAATCTCCATTGCCTGGATTAGTCAGATTATAGAACCACAGAGCATTACAAATATCAAATGCATCTGGCCTTCAAGGGGTGGGGGCTGCAGCTAAAGAATGCAAATGGGAACTTACTTGGAACCTGGAAACTGTAAGAAACATTAGCAAAGGAAACTGCCTGGGAGAGGGCTTGGACCCCCACACCACCTCCCAGGCTCCAGCACTGCTACTGGACTTTAGATCAGGGGCTCTGTTGACTAAGGCTCCTACTCTGGTGGGGAACTGGGACATTTCCCAGCTTTCAGGTCCCAGCCCACATGACAGTGTCCAGAAAGCGGGGATCAAGGAAGGTGGCCACTACTGAGGCCCTATTACGTGCCAGTGCGTGACATTATTTCGAATAATCCTCCCACACTCTTTGAGGAAAGTACAGAGATGCTGGTTTTGCAGTCGGGGAAATGAGGTTCAGGCGGGTCATCGAAGTGGCTCAAGGATGCACTGTGTGAAGGTGATGGAGTGGTGAGATCTGAACTGGACCTGCCCACGCTCCTTCTGCTCCATCGCACAGCCACACGAGAGGCACTCAGGACACGTCTAAGACGACGGAGGCTTTAGCCCTCAGGAGCTGGTGTGATGTTGATGGGGACCCTCTGTCCTCTCCTCTGCCCCCGATTTTGGGCTTTCCTGGCACACCCACAGGCCACAAGGAGCTGGTCAGGAAGGAGGAGGCAGGAGGGCAAGGGAAGGCAGGTACTTACAGCTATGCCGTGGCCGAAGCCCGAGCCCGGCTGTGGGCTGGCCGCACTTATGTAATTCCCCACTCCGGAGTCCTGGCTGGCAGGGCCGTAGAGATCGGCGACAGGTCCTGGGCTGTTGGCCCCCGGGAAGCCTCCGGGCCGCGCCGGGTTGGAGCCTGCCGGGGAAGCGGGCGCGCCAAAATTCGGTTGAGCACTGTAGCTATTCAGGACTGGTGTGCAGAGAATAGAGCTGGGTATGAGGCCAGAAGCCAGGCATGCACCGGTCATTACAAGCCAAACACTTGAGAAAAACAGCTGAGGCCCAACTTCTAACACTCAACCAAGGCCATGCGAAAACATCAGCAGGGACTCAAGAATACTCAGCCCAGGCTACTACTAAGAAGCTTGGAGCTCCAAAAATATAGAGAATAAAAAAACAATCATTCAACACACTACGGCAACCAACCGGAGGTGCTTCACTGCCCACCAAATTATCACAATAGAAATAGAGATATATATGGAAGAAAGAGAGAGAGAGAGAAAGAGTTTTTTTTTTTTTCACATCTGAATTGATGCTCATGCAGTCTTCTAGATCTGGGCACGTTGAGACAGCATTCACATCCCATGCAAACTACAAAGGAACTAGTTTTAGACTACACATTGTGTTAATATTGATATTAAAACGTGACAGGAAACAAAGCAATTTGTGTCCAGGAAAAAAAAAATCTTTGCGGAGGGGATTTTTGATCTTTTCTTGTATGTGTGTTTCACTTTTTCTTTTTGGATCCATTAAATGACAAATTTGTTTTGTTTTTTTAAAAAAAGACAAAAAAGATTTCCATTCTCCATCCCACCCCCACCACTCCCCCCTCCCCACTGGCTACTCCCTCCCTTCCCACCCTTCCCACTCATAACCCTGAATGAAAGTCATCAATACTGAACGTGGTCGGAGGATGGGATATGTCATGGAGAGTTTGGGCATCTTGACATAACAGTAATGATGGCGGCAGAGAGTTTCCTTTTGGGGTGGAGAGAAGGGGATGGAGGGAGGGATGGGGGGGAATGGTAAACCTGGAGGCTGGGGCCAGAGCTGGGGTGGAAGCCAATGGTTCTACAGGACACCCACACACTCACCTCCTGCAGGAGAAGGAAAGGGGGGATTTAAACTTTTTTTTCCTTTTGTTTAAAAAAAAAAAGACAAAGAAGTATGAATGCAGAACATACCGACTGAACCAATTCATAGCTAAACCATAGCTGATCAAAATGCCTGCTTTCTCTTGGTTATCCTGCAATGTCAACTCCAGACTGAGAACAGCAAGCTCAGGATGTATACAGAGAGGGGACTTGACACGCACAAATCCAGAGAGAGTGGTGGGGTTGCAGATCGGGGGGCAGCGGAAGGTGACACTGCCTCGGCCCCCCACCAATCTCATCATTCTGACCCTAATGAGGGCCGCAGCCTGTCAACCAGTTAACTAGGTTAATTTTGTTCACCTTTATTTCCCCTTAGTAGTTTAAACTTTATTTTCTTTTCCAAAATGGAAAACAATATTTTTTTTAATTGTAAAAGGAAGTTCTTACTGATTTTTAAGCCTCAAGGTGAGTCTGGGCTGGCCAACTTTGGTCTACGGCTAATCCGTATTAAAGAACCAGACATTCTGAGAGTCACGCTTTCAGATCTTCGGCTCCAAAGGGCTGCTCCTGGCAACAATCACTTCTCCCTTCTGCCTCCCTTGGCCTCTCCCCCTCTTCCCTGTGACCAGTTGCCTTCAATGGCAGAGGCAAAGAACATCCATGCAGGTGGGGTCACTCCTGGCTTTGGCCCCTCCCTTGCCCAGGGACCTGTGGTTTGAGGCCCTCAGTTCTGGTGGGCCTGGAAGAGCCAGAAGTGGATTGATTTTCACCCACTTGTCACAGGGATGGGAAGAGATTGATGAGGCACCCAAGGCACACTGGCAGGAGACTGAGACAGAGACACAAAGATACACGAGAGACCAAATCAAGCTGGGCCTGGCTCCTGACTCAGCAGAGAAAACAGAACTGTAGCCTCCGGATGCCCTTGGGGTGGGAAGCCCGAAGGTGAGCCCCTTTGAAGCTGTAGCTGAGAAATGAATAAACTGGCCAATGGAAAGAGCAGGTTAAAGAGAAAAAGAAAAAAAATAAATTACAGAGGCTGAGAGCAAGTGAACGGCTGATCTGGGAATGCGCTGGCAGACAAAAGCATCAGAGATTTTTGAATACAGAAGATTCAACTTGCAGATAACACTTGGCCCTCTCACTCATGGAGGCAAATATCAAGCCGAGATATTCAAAAGGCGGTATTATCTTAGTCTAACACATTTTTTTCTTCTGAGCTCAGGAAAACAGAAGAAGCTTGGACAGTGGACTCCTGGTTTTGTCCAGGCAGCTGAAATCCCTCCCTATACAAATGAATTAATTAGCCTGTTCCATTTTAGGCTAATAGGATGGGGTGGGCATGAGGAGGCGCAGTGGTTGATGGAAAGAAAGTTTTTTTGGCTTCTTTCTTGTCTGGCCGGATGTGAACCCAGGAAGGTGTTGGGCAGGCTCACCTAACTAGTGGGTGGGGAGAAGCAGGTTTAGATTTCCGTTTCTTCCAACAGAAGAGCCACCTAGAGACTAACCTAGCCAGCAGAAGCAGTCTCGGAGACAGGACGTAGCATGCCCACAGAAGGGTGATGTCCAGAAATGCCCCCTTCTGCAGGCCTAGAAGACAGAAGGGCTGTTGGTGTTATGCCCATCCCTGGCAACCTCTCCCATTCCTGTGTGCGGGGAGGCCTGTGGCTTCTGAGTTGGCCTGAAGGGAATTTCACAATAAGCAGCTCATCTTAGGTCTATATCACCCCTCCTTGCTCAGTCATCCTCCATCAAATGACACTAAAATCACCGTGGAGAAGACACTGTATTAGAATGCAGCTTTCAAATCCCAAGTCCTGTTTTATTATGCACTTGCTCATCACAATGCCGGAGCCTCAGCTCAAAGTCACCTTGCAGATGTCCCCCAGCCAGGGGTGAAAGACAGGGCTGCTGGGTCCCCACTAGAGGGCGCAGCCGGCAGGCAATAAGCGCCCAGTTCTGGGCTGGTCCCCTGTCTCCAGCTAGGCTTCTGGGCAGTGGAACCCGCACCCTTGAGGGCCGGGCGCACGGAAGAGAGGAGCCTCTATTTTCCACAGTCAACACTTGTGTGTGTCTGTCTCCGCGAGCAGAAGACCCAGGCTCCAGAAAGCATGTTAAAGTCCCCGAACAAGCCATCTGGAAACTCATGCATCTTTGAGAAGACTCATAAAAAGCAACGGCTCTGGCTGCTTAGGAGAGAATGGGGACTGCCACTTGGCACATAAACGTGTCAGTAGCTGTTCCTGCTGTCTGACAGTGGGAAGACATTAGGGACAAAGTAATTTTCTTCTTTCGCGAAGTCAGCGTAACTCCACATACTGAACACTGGCTGGCTACACAGGAAAGGGGCTCATCTGAGAACGCTGTCTCCCTCTAAGAGGAGACGTAGAGAGTGGGGTTGCAGGGGGTGGGGGGGAAGGCATGAAGCCAAATCTCTGACCTGAGGGTGCTTTCTGTGGAAGTCATTCTCCAGTCGATTCTCAGTGATCTTTCTAAGTGAAGGGTGCCTTTTCCCCAGGCACGGAGACTTATTTTGGGGGGCCAGAATCGGTCCCATATACCAGGATCAGCTCGGGAAGAGAAGATGGGACGTGGCTCTTAGTGGACAAGGGCACCTTGTCTACTGCTCAGCTAGGGTGTGCGTGTGTGTCGGGGGGGAGGGGCAGGGAGTACACTTTGTTGAATAAATAAACAGTGCTGAGATTTATAAATTGGATGTTATGACTCCTGTCCCAGAAGAGGACAATGTCTTGCAAACGTCTTGGCATTTTTGCAGCAGGAGCTATGAGCGTTAAGTGGCTTGGGATAAGCCCTGCTCTAGGATGGCAGTTTGGGGGCTCATTGTGGTGATCAGGTTCATTTCATTAGCAGCATCCATGGCAGCATTTTAATCCCAGGCAGGTTTCTCTTTGCCCTTCATCCTCACTCCCCAATATCCTCTGGGCTTTCCCAGTCAAGGTGGCACCCACAGAGAGGCAGCAATGATGTAGAGAAAGGGAGCACTGGACTCGGAGGCAGAAGACCTGACTGTGACCCCAGCTCTGTTCTTACAGTCAGGTGCCTTGGGCTAAGAAGCCACTCACAAGCCCAAGTCCTCATCTGTAGCAAGTGAGTGATGCTTTCCTTATTCAATCTGACTCACGGGGCTGCTTCAGGAATGAAAAAGAGAAAGTGTTCTGTAACTTGTCAAGTTTAAAACAAATACACCCTATTTCTGAAATAGTTATGTATGCAGAGCCCAATAAGGCGGGTACCACCTGTGGATTTAGGAAAATCTGATATAGGAAAATGCAATTCACTATCCATATGAATCAGGAGGTGACTTACAAAAATCCCAATTTATCCATTTGGTGCATTTAATCATCTTGGGCCTGAAGAAAGAACTCCTGGGAATGGGGGTCAGAAAAGCGAGGACACCGAATCTCACCGAGGATGGCAAAAGGAGATGCACTTGAATGAAAGTTGGTGGCATTTCACATGGGATAAAAGGAGAAACTTCCTGCCCATCAATAAAATACGCTGATGGCTGACCTGGGAAAGTCCGAGAATCTTATCCTGGAGATCTTAACAGAGACGGATGCTGCAGGCTTAAGACTCTCACCTGCAAGGGTTGGACCTAAAGCTACCGAGCATCTTGCCCTTAGGGTTCTAAAACGAGATGCGAGAGATGCCTGCTGTCTGGTCAGCATGTGACTCTGCCCAACTGTGGTGAGAAGGGACTGGGCTGAGAGTGGAATTAGGCATGGAGGGTAGGGAAGTGGTAGGAGTCAGAACAGCCTCACTGTAGGTCTAGAAAAGGTATGGAAGTCTAGTCCAATAATTTTTGTGTTGTCCCTAAGTGATGCCACTGGACCTGAGGCAAAAAGCTAGAGCCAGGACAATGAGGGGGGCACCTCTCAGAGGGCACCTCTGGCTCTAAGGCCTGAAAATTGGATTATTACTGATCCAGAGAAAGGAACTGTTTACAAAATATTCTCCAGATGAGCTCAGTTCACATATTTGGGACAAGCCAGGGGCCCACCAAGTTCCAGCCCTAGACCCAGCTCCTAGTTTGGTGGGTCTCACATTTCTGCAAAAGCCAGGGCCAGCCCTCAAG